CTCTCTCTCTCTCTCTCTCTCTCTCTCTCTCTCTCTCTCTCTCTCTCGTGTGTGTGTGTGTGTGAAATAGAAATGTCTGATGAAGAACCCCCAAGATAGAGTGCAGGAGCTAGCAGGAGCCATCCTGTACTGGCTAGTTTTATGTCAGGTTGACACAAGCTAGAGTCATCTGAAAGGAGGGACTCTACGTTGAGAAAATAGCTCCATAAGATCTGATTGTCGGGCATTTTCTTAATTAGTGACTGGTGGGGGAAGGCCCAGCCCATTGTGGATAGTGCTGCCCTAGGATGGTGGTCCTAGGCTTTATAACAAAGCAATCTGAGCAAGCCGTGAGGAGCAAGCCAGCAAGCAGCACCTCTCTATGGTCTCTGCATCAGCTCTTGCCTCTAGGTTCCTGATGTTTGAGCTCCTGTCCTGACTTCCTTTGACAATAAGCAGTGCTGGGAAGTGTATGCCAATAAACCCTTTCCTTCTCATGTTGCTTTTGGTCATAGTACTTTATCAACCCAATACCCTCCTCTCACCACCACAGGCACCAGGTGTGCTCATGACATACATGCAGGCAGGCAAAACACTCAGAAACATAGTATTTTTTTAAAAAAATCTAAAAAGAAAAAAAGTAGAAAAAGAAAGTAGATTTAGATACTTTTTGTACCCAGATATAGTGGCCTATACCTATAATCCCAGCACTTTTGAGAGTCTGAGGAAGAAAAAAATCTCCTGTTCAAGGCCACCTATCTAATGAGATCCCATACTTACAAAAAGAAGACAAAGGATAGAGTTGTTGAAATCCACAGCCCTTCCCTAACATGGTTAACTCTTCCTCAGGAGATGTGAACAGGACACCAATAATAGACCAAAGAAATCATTACCACCGAAGTCCAGTGTCGTGAACCAGTGAACTTACTGGTCACTTACAGAGCACAGGTCATGGTTTATTTACAGGTGACCTCAAAAACAACTGCAGCACCACAAAAAGCCAACCCTACATAGTGGGCTCATGGAAGCAACACTGTGGAGCCTCCTTTCAGTCAACCTTATACTTCTCGTGACTCGTCACTTGTCACTGGGGCTGGGGGCAAGAGGGGAAATGGCTGTAATCCCAGGTGAGGGTATAGTGCCCCCTTCAACTCCCCACACCTGCCCATCCTCCAGCTGCTATTATTATTATTATTATTATTATTATTATTATTATTATTTTCTGCTCAATTGGCTGCAGAGTGAATGGTTGGATGTAAGTTCTATTCCAAGATGCCAATCATATTATGCAAAGAAACTTTCCCTGGTCATGCCTCTCCAGGGTTCCAACTTCCCATTGCACTCCTGGACCACATGTGCCCTCAGTCCCCTTGCTACCCGTTGGCCTAGAGCCCTTCCCCCAGTGTCAGGTGTTCAGTTCAGGAATTAGAAGTCACTGGATATTTCATGCATGAGAAGGTTTGGCTGTTTGAAGCATAATTTCCTTCAGTGAGTCACATCAATATTCATGTATGTGGGTTTTTGTGTGTGTGTGTGTGTGTGTGTGTGTGTGTGTGTGTGTGTGTACCATGAATGCATGCCACAGCACATGTGTGGAACTCAGAGGATGACCTCAGGTGTCAGCTTCACCTTTGACCTTGTTTGGTGGCAGGGTCTCTCTGTTCTTTCTTGTTTGCTGCTGTATGCTCCAGGCTAGCTGGCTTGCAGGCTTCCAGGGATTCTCCTGTCTGTCTCCCATCTCGCTGTAGGTATGCAGGATCACAGACACACACTGCTACAGGTGGCTTTTACATGAGCTCTGGATAGAGATTTGAACTCATGTCTCCCCAGCCCCTAGCGCTTGATTTTTATCCAAGTAAATACCTATGTAGTATCATTAAGATAAAAGTCTACCACTCAAGAGGCTGAGGCAGAGGCAGGCCGAGCAGTGGTGGCACATGCCTTTAATCCCAGCACTTGGAAGGCAGAGGCAGGCGGATTTCTGAGTTCGAGGCCAGCCTGGTCTACAGAGTGAGTTTCAGGACAGCCAGGGCTACACCAAAAATCCCTGTCTCGAAAAAACTGGAGGAGCCTGGAGGGGCCTAGAGGAGCCTGGAGGGGCCTGGAGGTTAGCTTTGGGCTTTGGTATTTAACTACAGGCATATATATATATATATATATGCCAAGGGAATCCACCCTTTCTAACAGGCAGAAACCCATTTCACAGATTCCAGAGGAATGCTGACTGTAGGCTTTGATCCATCTGCCAAAAATCCTTCTATAGTTTAGCTTGAGCTGAGCCGAGACCATCAATTGGACCAAGTCAGTAGGTTTGCTGTGTTTTGGAGTGCTTGGGGGTTTTTTCTTCGGACCTGACAGAGTCCAGAGGACAACCTGGAAGAGGTTATCTCTCCCTCCAACATGTGGGTCCAAGGGATCAATCTCAGGTTCGCAGGCTTGACAGCAAGTGCCTTTACCACTGAGCCATCCTGAGACCCCCACCTTGAACTTCTGATCTTCCTACTTCTACCTTCCACACGCTGAGATTACTAATGTGCTGGCTCTGTCAACCTCTTGCTCCCTACCACCCAACCTTCTTTTCTGATTCTATCACTGTGAAGGAGTAGAGTGTAATTCCCCCTCAGGCTTACATTTTGAACTCTCTCAGACCCCAGTCAATGGATGGAGTTACTTTAGGAAGTTCTGGAAACTTTAGATATGGAATCTAGCTGGAGGAAGTGGGTCACTGGAAGGTGAGCGTTTGAAGGCTATACCTGATCCTTTTGGGTTATTTCAACCAGGGATAATGATGAGCAGTGGTTTGGTTCAAGAAGAGGAGGCAGAGGTGGGACCATACCCAGCTTGTTCTGAGTGCCTTGGGGTCCAAATCAGGTCCTCAGGGGTTCACTGTGAGTGCTTCTAACCACTGAGCCATCTCTCGCGTTCACATCCCTTCTGTTTTTACTGGAACATTTGGGCTCTCTCAGGTTTGGATGGACAAGAATAAAGCTGCTATGAACATTCACAAGAAGTCCTTCTGTGGGATTGTGCACTCATTTCCCTTGAGGAGGAGATTAAGCTGTATTTAGCATTATCAGCAGTTTCCAGAGTTCTCCAGAGAAGCTGCGTCACGGCTCCCAACAGCAGTGTGCTGGGAGCTCCAGTCACTTCACTCTGCTTCACTTCCTCATCAACACTTGACACGTGTTTTTCCAGTTAAGGAGTTTAATACTCAAGCTTTGTGTGCTGTGGAACTGTGAGAGTCAGGGAGCTGCCACTTGAGTGGACTCGAGAGCACATTCTTGCAGTGATATGCACCTGTAACCCCAGCACTTGAAAAGCTGAGGCGGGGAGATCATAGATTTAGTTTAAGGGTATCTGAGCTACACAGTCTGACCTTTTCTCAAAACTATTATCAAGGCTGGGCAGTGAAGGTGCCTGCCTTTAATCCCAGGACTCAGGAGGCAGAGGCAGGTGGATCTCTGTGAATTCAAGGCCAGTCTGATCTATGGAGTGATTTCCAGGACAGCCAAAACCATCCAGAGAAACATCGCGTCTCAAAAAACCAATTAAGTGGGTTGGTGAAACGGGTAATATTTAGAAAATCCGCCATGCGGGCCAGCTATCTAATCAGCGGGGCGGCTCTGCTTAGCCCCGGCCGCCATGTTCCGCACTAGAAGCGGCTAGAAGCCAAGCGTGCCACAGCTAGAAGTGGCCAGAGACCACGAGCCCACACCACAATTAGACCCACGAGATGCCAGAGTAGCAGATGACTCTGCCAATTGACCACACTGCCCCCACAATGCTTGGCTGAGCCCAGACCATTCCCGCTATGCTTGTGATACCCGGTAGAATGAAGACTCTTAATGCTTAAAGATTATCCAATGGATTTATATATTTGGAAATGCTCAATACACAAGATGCCCACACAATTAGAATTGTTACCCAATATCTAACTTTTAGATAAAAATTGTTACCCAGGACTGCTTTCAACCTATCAATCTTCCTCCATGGTCGATAGCCAACCTTCCTTCTCCTTCCCTTCCTCTCCTTCTCTCCTCCCAACTCCTCACTCTGCCTACCTTTCATACTGCCCAATCACCGAGCTTTATTGCAAATGTAGCAGGGAAAATATCCTGCTACATATTACCCTTCTTGTTAGAATAAAAAACAAAACAAAAGCCAACCTTTCCCTTAACCTATAATTAGAGTACAGCTATACCAATTTGCAACAGTAAGGTATAAGATAGACCTAATACCCAGTCCAACATAGAAGCAGGGGGAGGGAAGGATGGGATAGGAAGTTTCTGGAGGGGAAACTGGGAAAGGAGATAATATTTGAAATGTAAATAAAGAAAATATCCAATAAAAGAAAAAATAATTAAGAAAAGAAAATAAAGATAAAAAGAAAAAAATTTCCCCCACAACAATAATATTAAAATAAAATAAAAACAAAAACTCATAAAAACCTTGTTCAAAAGTGGAGATGGTTCCTGTCACCCCATTCACATGGCTCTGAGAAGCCTCTTCAACACTGAAGAGGCATGTATGCTGGGGGCTGGCTTTTGATCCTAGCGTCATTGTATCCTGTTGTCAAGTGACAGTAGGAATATTGCCTCTGTCCCTCGAATAGCTCATGTGGTATCTAATTATTAACTCACTTCATATTTACAGTTGCAGCTGCCAAGAAGTCTGGTAGGTGATGTGGCGCTTCACCCTGGAAGACGGAAGAGGAGCCAGCTACGATAGTCGCACTCTTACTTCTTTCACTGTTTGTGTTGGCGATGGCGGGCTGGCCTTCCTGCAGCAGCTCTTCAGTTACTTGGTGTCATGTGATGCTATTCCTGGGGAGACATGGACGTTAGTTCACATCTACTCACCTCAGATAAGGAGTCTATGACAGTCTAAACTTAAGACTCTAAAGTAAGGATCCCACTTAAGTCCAACTTGGTGAGTCAGTGAGTTTTATTATGGTTACTTACAGGAAGGAACTCAAAGGCAGCTACATCACCAAAATTCTCCCAGCATGGGTGACAGTTCAGGAAAGCTGGGAACATGGAGCACACTGTATAGCCTTCTGGCAGCTCAATAGGCTAGAAAGCATCTCTTCTAGGGAGCTCATAAAGTCTGAATCTCTTCTAGGCAGCTCAGTTTATAAGCAGTCCTTACTGCTTATATGTGTTTGGAGAAAAACGGGCCTAGTGAGCCTAATCAGTATCAGGGACTTCCTGAAGATGTTGAGTTGTTTATTTGTTTAACAGAGCATTTTCATCTTGTCTTAGAATATCCTGGGCATTTTAATTTTTTAAAAACTTTATAAGCATGAGTATTTTGCCTGCATGTATGTCTATGAACTGTGTGGCTGCCTGGTGCGTAAGGAGGCCAGAAAGGGGCTTTTGGTCCTTTGGAACTGGAATTATGGCCAATTGGAAACTGCTATGTGGGTTCTGGGAATTGAACCTGGTTCCTCTAAAGAATAGCCAGTGCTCCTAAACTTTGAGGCATCTTTCCAGCCCCAATATCTTGTGTCGTCTTCTCTTTCTTCTTCTTCTTCTTCTTCTTCTTCTTCTTCTTCTTCTTCTTCTTTCTCTCTCTCTCTCTCTCTCTCTCTCTCTCTCTCTCTCTCTCTCTCTCTCTCTCTCTCTGTCTTTTACGTTTTTTCGAGACAGGGTTTCCCTGTGTAGCCCTGGCTGTCCTGGAACTCACTCTATAGACCAGACTGTCCTCAAACTCAGAAATCTGCCTGCCTTTTCCTCCCAAGTGCTGGGATTAAAGGCCTGTGCCGCCACTGCCCAGCTCTTTTCTCTCGTTCTTTATTCTTCGTTCACATAATACATTCTGACCACAGTTTCCAGTCCCTCCTCTCCTCCTAGTCCCTTTCCCCCACCTCCCCTCTCCCACAGATCCATTTTTCCACTTTCCTTCAGAAAAGAGCAGGTCTCCCATGGATATCAACCAAACATAGCATAACAAGATACAATAAGACTAGGCACATACCTTCATATCAGGCTGAATTAGGCAACTAAGTACAAGGAAAAGAGTCCTAAAAGCAGGCAAAAGAGTCAGAGACACACCCAGCACATACTGTTTGAAGTCCCACCAGAACAACCGTAATATATCTGCAGAGGATCAAGGCCAGACCTGTAGAGGCTCCCTGATTGTAGCTTCAGTCTCTGCAAGCCCCTATGAGCCCTGATTATTTAACTCTGGGCTGTGTTCTTGTAGTGTCCTTGACCCTCTGGCTCCTACAATCCTTCCTCCTTCTCTGCTGCAGGAATCCTAGAGCTCTGCCTAATGCTTGGCTAAACATCCTGTGTCTTCACAAGATTCTAACATCAAATGTTTTATCTCAAAGAGATTGCTACACAATTCTTGGGCTCACCCATACCTTTGAGGTCAGTTGGCTCTTCTGTTAGGAACATCATGATAATCACAGATGGACTCAGCTGGAATGGCTCTCTTAATTTTTAATTAATTTATTTATGTATATATTAATATATATTCATTATGTATAATTATTACTGTGGGAAGGGTACATGCGTGTGCGAGTGTGCGTGCTTGTGTGTGTGTGTGTGTGTGTGAAGGTCAGAGGAGACTGTATACAGTTTTCCCTTTTCATCTTTACATGGGTTAAAGGGATTGAATCTAGGTCCTGGGGTTCCTGCAGCCTTACCTACTGAGCCATCGCATCAGCCCAGAGATGGCTCTATTCACTTACATAGGTTCTCACCCTCCTTCAGGCTGAGCCAGGCATTCTTCATGACAGGAACCCCATGAGTCCTTGACTCTAAATGGGCACAGTATCATTTCTGCACATTGTATTGGGCTGAATTGAGTCAAGAGGCCTGTCAAGACTAAATTTTCTAGTTAATTTAAGAACAACACATTAAGCCTGGCTTAATAGTGCACACCTTTAATCCTGGCACTTGAGAGGCAGAGGCAGGTGGATCTTTGTGAGTTCAAGGCCAGACTGATGTTCACAGTGAGTCCCAGGACAGCCAGGGCTATGTAGAGTAACACTATCTTGAAAATAATGAATATGATGAGGAGGAGGAAGAAGAAGAGGAGTCAGGTGTGTGTCAGGAAGGAAGGACAGGAAGGTGTATGTGAAGGAAACTTCAATTCCTCAAACTCCAAAAGGCAATCCCAATATCCAGAAATGAGCTCAGCCTGGACTATAAGTGGATTCCTGTCTCAAGGAAAAAGACCAAAGCACTGAGGCAGGTAGGTGTGGCTCAGTGGTGGGTCCGATTCAACCCCAGCATCACAAAGAAGGTGTGGGGAAGTAACATGATAAAGAGGCCTTGAGGAAGTTCTATACACATCTACTGACACTGGATGCTGGTGAGGACAGCCTGTAGAAGGGCCTTCAGCAGAATGAGCAAAAGAGTCTTTTACATGCAGGTTTTCTGTGAAGTGTGGGTGGGTCACCTTGTTTGAACCAGTGTTTTCTGGAGCTATCTGGTAAACTGCATAAGCCAGACCAATGTCTCTAAATTTATAGAAAGATACCAAAAACTTCTGTTGTGTTAGCATAGGATTTATTAACTAAGGTATGTCGAATTTACTTAATACAAAAGTGCCTAAATGACAGTACACAGTGTCTGTGTAGACAACCACTACAGGTGTGTCAAGGGCCTTCACAGAACCATGGAAAGACAACAGCTTAATCAGTGTCAGTGCAGGCATGACAACGTATGTCATCCCTGCCACCTCAATGTCATGTCACGGCAATGTATCCCTCTCACGCAGCCTTAGTGTCAGAGCCCTATAGCCAGGGCATACCCAGTGAAATGTATGTTACTATATAAGGGGACAAAGGGCTAACAGTGTGCTCACAGTGAGCCCCACTGTGCTCAGGGTTCAGCCTTTGGATGTGAGTTGGCTGAATCAGCACCAGCATGAGTAAAGCTGCCTCTTGGCAGAAAACCTCAGGGTCTTGTCTCTTTATTCAAGAATTCCATTTCTCTTGCTCTCAGATTCTGGAAATAACATGAATGTTTGTGGCTGTTCAGGCTCCATCCACCTTATAGCAGAGGCCTGAATTAACGTTGGAGCCCATGGTGGCTGTGCAGACTATACCACTACAAGTGTGGTAAGGCACCCTGAAATCTGGATACTGGTTTCCCTAGTGCCTAAAAAGACACCAGGTCTGTTTCCTGGGATACACCATTCAGTGAGAATAGCACAATGATGCATTATCACATGAAGAAGCTTCCATTTTATTGCCCTCATAGAGGCTAGTCACAAGCTGCAGGCATCTAGCAAGAACAAATGAAGTAGCCATTTCAATTAGGGAATTGTGGAAAGCACGATGCATTTGCTCACCCAACTTTGCAGAGCCTCCTGAATTCTATTTGGGCACTCTGAAGCTGGTGGGTTCCAGGTGGAATCTTGGCCTCGTCTGTCCCACTGTGCTTTGAATTAGGTTTTTAGTCTCTTTGACTGTGTGGCTCCTCAGGTTTACTTCCTTGTTCTGCTTTTCAGAAAAGAGATCAAATCCTCCAAAATATTTTCTTCTGATTTATCTGAGGTTTCCTGCCCTTCCTTTCCTTTCCCTCCTCTTCCTCCTCCTCCTCCTCCTCTTCCTCCTCCTCCTCTTCTTCTTCCTCTCTCTCTCTGTCTCTCTGTCTCTGTCTCTCTCTGTCTCTCTGTCTCTCTCTCTGTCTCTCTCTGTCTCTCTCTCTCTCTCTCCTAAATTCAACTTAGAGTTTTCTCCTAAGTGCTCTGAGCCTCCCCTCCATCAGGTGGAGTTTTAATCTTGTATTATGTATTCCTTTTTGAGACAGTCTTAACATGGAGCTAAGGATGGCCTTGAGCTCACTATGTACCCCGGTTGGGTCTGAAGCACTCAGTCTTCCTGTCTCAGCCTCCCTGTAGGGATGATGGAAATGTGCTACCACCTGTTTCAGGTGAACATTCTTGACCTTGAAACCTGTAGGGCAGCTTAGCCATGTCTGTTTGTCATGTTACTATGAAAATTAACTTTTGCCGGGTGGTGGTGGCACACACCTTTAATCCCAGCACTTGGGAGGCAGAGGCAGGTGGATTTCTGAGTTCGAGGCCAGCCTGGTCTACAGAGTGAGTTCCAGGACAGCCAGGGCTACACAGAGAAACCCTGTCTCAAAAAAACAAAAAAACAAAAAAAATAAAAAATAAAAATAAAAAAATAAAAAAACAAAAAACAAAAAAGACAAAAAAAAGAAAGAAAAAAGAAAAAAAAAGAAAATTAACTTTAATTCCTTGGCCAGGGAGTACCCAACATTCCAACCTGTAGGGGTACTGATCCTCATTTGTTGTTGTTGTTGTTTTGGTTTTTCAAGACAGGGCTTCTCTGTATAGCCCTGACTGTTGTGAAACTGTAGGCCGGGGTGGCCTCAAACTCAGAAATGTGCTTACCTCTGCCTCCTGAGTGCTGGGGTCAAAGGTGTGGGCCAACACTGCCTGGCTCTGATCCCAACTTTGAATGACCAAGTGATCAGGCAAAGGCACTGTGAGCCTGTTCCCCACTGTCCTTTTGTTGTCTAGTTTGACATTTCCAGATGGCTTTGCACAGACTCTGTTTATATCTAATTATGCCTGACGGCGAAGGCTTCATGTTTAAAGTGGTTAGCCTCTTTCTTCCCTTTACATTTACTAACTTACCGTTTCTGTACATAGGAAACTGCTGGTCTGCGCTCTGCCTTTACTGTCAGCCTCTGCGTTGGCCTCTCTGAGGCTGAAGTTTGCTCTGCCTGCCAGCACTTCGTTCTCATCATGTGAACATCCCAGGACTACATGAAATGGAGGACTGCCTAAGGCGTGTAATACTGTTTGGAGTTCATCAAGTGCTGATTCCCAGGCAGTGCCCGGATGCCACCTCTCTCCAGCCTCAGGTGAAATCTTTGCTGCCCTAAACACTCGTGGCCCTTTAAGCTGGCAAGGACAGGTTGAAATTACTCTGACCTTGCCACAATAAATCAGGTGACTGTCCCTGAGAGGGAGGAGTTCTGGCCACTCTTTTCACCTGCCTCCCCTCAGGACAGACGTGTGTGTGTGTGTGTGTGTGTGTGTGTGCCTCCCCTCAGGATGTGTGTGTCTGTGTATGTGTGTAGTAATACCCCGTTATAGCTCTAGCCTCATCTAGAGCACGCAATGGAAGGAAACTTGCTCTCCTGGGAACACTACCCTCAAGCTTGTTGTTTCTGAATCTCAAGAGAAAGGCAAATCCCTTCAGCGGGCTAGGAGTGTAGCTCAGTACAACACCTGCCAAGCCTCAACAAGGCTCTGGGTTGTTTCCAGTACTGAAGGGGAAAAGGTTGGCACGGTAAGATTTCAGAGTTCCCAGCCCCAAGGATTTCCTAGAAACTACCTGCCACAAAGCATAGAATGTCTGTTGCAAATGCTAATGTTCTAGAAATAGAAACTGTCACTAGGTTCTTGCTCTGTACTGCTCCTTATACCCTCTACTGAATTAATTTGAAAGAGACATGCAGTGCATAGTATAGACTGATGATTACAGACTGTGGTACAGAAGAGAATCTAATAAACTGAACCATTCTCACTCAGGGAGAGAGCGGGCAATGAGCAAATACTGTGCATGTATTTAATTGTTCTTTATTATTTTGAAATCAGGTCTTGCTGTGTAGACAGGCTACCTAGCAATACACCCCAACACCCACACCAAGTTTTCTGAAGGACATTGGATTGACTTCAGGGCCTGACCTTTCACTCCGGCCTTAAATGACAACTTTTTAAATTAAGAAATTATTTGTGAGTGTGATCTGTGTCAGAGGATGATCTTGGGAGTCCATCCTGCCTTCTACTTTGTCTGAAACAGGGTCTCTTCTATGTTCTTTGCCACCATGTACATCAGGTGAGCTGACCCAGTCATCCTGTCTCTGCCTAACCACAGAAGCACTGAAATTTCAGATGCAGGCTACTGAGTCGGGATTTACAAGGTTCTGGGAATTCAAACTCAGGTGCTCATGCTTTACTACCAGTGTTCTGACCCATGCAAGTGTGACACTGGGGGCAGCAGACCTTTCAGGGGTGGTTGTGGCAAATACCTGAATCCAGAGCTCATTGCTGCTGGACACTTACAGATGACAATGCACAGAGATAAGAAATGAATGAATCTGGTCTACAGAGTGAGTTCCAGGACAGCCAAGGCTATACAGAGAAACCCTGTCTCGCTCAAAAAAAAAAAAACAAAAAACAAAACAAGAAAACTGAAAAAAGCTGGGCAGTGGTGCACATGCCTTTAATCCCAGCCCTTGGGAGGCAGAAACAGGCGGATTTCTGAGTTCGAGGCCAGCCTGGTCTACAGAGTGAGTTCCAGGACAGCCAGAACTACACAGAGAAACCCTGTCTCGAAAAACCAAAAAAAAAACAAAAACAAAAACAAAAAACAAAAAAACAAAAAAAAACAAAAACAAAAACAAACAAACAAACAAAAAACCAACCAAACAAACAAAAGAAATGACTCTTGGGGCTGGAGAGGTGGCTTAGCAGTAAAGAGCACATTCTTCTCTTGCAGGGAACCTGGGTTTGGATCCCAGGGCCCACGTCTGCAACTCCAGTTCCAGGGGTTCAGGCACTTTCTTCTGACCTCTGGGGACATTGTACACACACACACACACACACACACACACACACATATTCTGGGGGCATTGTACATACATGTATACACACACAACCATTCATACACACAAACTTTAGAAAGGAGGGCATCTTTCAACTGCACTCCATTCAGAGAGACTCGATCTCAGATGACAGGGTATCAGTCTCCAAGTGTCTTCCTCTTATCTTTAGCAGGGTGATGATATGGGAAGGGGAACAAAAGCAATTGATCACTCCAAAGTCCAGTCTAGTCAAAATCAAGTGGCTGGCCTTGAATCTGAGACTCACTGTGTGTGTGTGATACAGGGAGTTTTCACCTACACAAAGGCCAACTTGAAACGTTTGGATTCATCCTGAGACATCCTGATTGAGGGTTAGCTCAGAACAAACTAGTAGCTGGGTATATGTGTATTTCCCTTCCAAAGATGTACAAATATGCTCTTACAACATAGAATATGGATATAGAGCACTCATAGCTGTTAGCTACTAGTAGTGCTTACTATGAGGTCATGGCTGATTCCTCAGCTTCCGGTCTCGCTTTCTTTTCTTCTCCCTCATCCTCTTCCTGCCCATGTTTCTACCATTGAATTTCTACCCATCATAAGGACATAACCAGAGTCAAGCTGATGTCAGTAACGCACTTGAACCTCAAAACTGGGAATTAAATAAACCTCTTTCTTTAATTTCATTATAACCTCATTATAATAGTGTTTCATTATAGTGTTTGATAAGTGACAAATACAAGGATTCTATAATGATCAATTGTGAGATTTTTTGGGGTACTCGGTTGTTCTGTATGATCCTATCCCCCTAAAATGTTCATAATAGTCTGCTGTAACCAAATGTTTAAGTCCTTGGTTAAGAACAATGGTGCCTTCCTTATACAACTGTTCTGTGGCTCCTCCTCATCGTCAACAAGAGATCTACCTTCCAGAAGTAACTTGTCTTTTCTGCAGCTTTCTGATATCTGCCACACTTAGGGTGGGGAGTGATTAGCAACAGGTGGCAGGCTGGGGAGCTCCACCCACTCTGCAACTGGATTGGCTAACTGGAACAATGAACACAATAGCTACCTAAGGACCAAAGTTGAGAAAATATTTCTGAAAATACAAAAGGGCTTCGGTTTGCTTTGGAAAGCATACATCATGTACTGATGAGATGGCTCAGTTGAGGAGAGAGCCTGCCAGGAAAGCCTGACGGCCTGGGCTTGGCCCTCAGGTCCCACAGTGGAAGGACAGAACTGCCTCTGAAGAGGGCCTTCCAAAATTGTATGTCTTAGTCTCTGTTCCTCGGGTAATATCCACACTAACCTCCAACCTGTGACATACACCACAGCAAAAGCAAGCTCCACCATCCAAAAGAAGCACAAACAAACAAGTCTGAGGAGGAGGAATGGAAGCCTCAGAAGGAAGCTTTTCAGGATACTTGAGCAAGCAGCAGAGAGAAAGAGATTGGGGCCACCTAGGCAGGTGTGCACTCACATGAGGTTGCACAGAAAGAGGACAAAATCAGATCACCATTGTTTTTAATTCAAAATAAGACATCACCTGGGCCAGATGCCTGGCACCTTCCGGCCAGCAGACAAGCAAAGCTGTTGTGCTCTCAGCTCTCCTGGCAGACAGACAGGGCACATAAGGAGCCGCAGAATCCCCCTGCTCTGAACTGTGATGGAGCCAGATGCAGAACAGGCCTTGCTGACAAAATCCTTGCTGATGTGCAAAGGCAGGGACTGGGGCTTGCTAGGGTACTGGCCCAGCTCTCCAACCTTGAAGTGGGTCTCAGAGACTCCTTTTGTGCTGGGGCTATCGACTCGGTAAGCTTGGCCAGCGGTACATTGCTCCAGTACTGACAGCCGCTAGAGCTGAAAGGAAGTGGAGTCAAGGACATGGTAGACACTGCCGAGTCTAAGAGGTCACAGGGCAGCTCTAGATTCAGGATGCTCTACAATTCCAGTGGCCTGAGATCAGGCACAGACAGCCTTCTACCAAGGTCTCTTCTTCCTGCAGGCTTGCTCAATCCATATGTCCTGAGCGTGGCCACACATCAGAGTAGGGAGCAGGCTGGGCAGATGTCAAACTTCCCCTGGCAATCTTTACCCTTGCCCTTTGTCATGTAAGGAAGCCTCATTCTGGTGAGGGGTCAGCGGGGCCACGCAGCACTGAATTCCTTCTCCAGATCCTGGACAAACTGGTCATTGAGGAAAAGCAGCTGCCCATGTGGCAGGAAGCGGGTGAGGATTCCCTCAATACGGTCAGCCCGCAACAAGAAGTTGGTGCCAGGTGTCAGCAGCCGGAGGTGATCAAGAAGGAGGCGAACCAAGAGTCGGAGTGTGCGCTCAGCCAGCAGCAGGTTCTCATGGGTATCTAACACCAGGGCAAAACCCAAGGAGGGCACACCCAGCCAGAGCACAGTCCGTGGCTCCTGGAAAGGGTCCCCAGCTGCCAGGCGGAAGGCTCCATGAGGGGCCTCATGCAGGGACACAGGCTCAGCTGAGAACTGAGGCTGAAGGTCTGAGGAGGAACATCCAGATGCTTGCTGCTGCAGCCTACACAGTGACTCCACCTGTCTGGAAGAGAAGTCAGGTCCGTCTGGCAAACTTGGAAGCCTGGTAAGACCAACAAGGCACCCCACCCCAAAACACACATACACACACACACACCTCTGTCAACATCACAACTTCCAATGTAGCTGGGAGCTGCTCATATCTTGGGTAAGGAAATTTAGGCTTAAAAAGCTTAAGCCATTTGCCCAGGGACACAGAGTTAGGTTGGGAGAAGGACTAGGGACTAAGGCCTTGTCCCATCTGCCTCACAGAAGCCTCAACAGAGGCAAATAAGTGATAAGAACAACGTCCTCAGATGGGGGCTGTCTGACCTCTCAACCACATCCATCCTTCTCCAAGTCAAAGGTGCCTTCCCTGTGTCTATCAAGGCTGCCTCTGGAGCCATTCACAGACTGGCTTTAAAGCTATGTGTTTACCCGAGTATCCTGATGTATGCCTATAATCCTAGCATTGAGAGGCTGAAGTAGGGGTCGGGGAAGGGATCAAGTTATGGCCAGCCTGAACTAGATAATTGGACTCTGCCTCGAAACAAAATAAAACACTTAACTCTGAAAGGCTCTGTTTGGTTTTCTGTGTTGCAGGAGGGGAACAAGTTGAGAATAAGCGAGTGGTGGGAGCTGGCAAAGACCAGTAGTACCCTTTGTGTGGGTCTGGGATAAAAAGGTTCTGCTCTACCAATCTGTCTCATACAAGTGTTTCCCCAAACTGCCCCGAGTCCCTGGCAGCTTCTCTCTTAGGGTGAGCTCCATTGTAAAGCATGTTTCATCTGTACAGGAGTCTGCCTGCCTATACTCTAATCTCTATTACACTGCTTTTTAGTTGTATAACCTTGAATGGGTTAAGTGCCTTAAACACTCTGTATTTTAGTTTACTCTTCTGTAAAGTGAAGATAAACCAGGACCACTTCAGAAGACTGTGAAGATTTAAAAAACATATACATACAATTCCCAGAACATATTCACAGTGCAGGAATTACTAACCACCGCGATAATAACATTCAACAATGGTGGACAACTGGGGGAAATATTCAGATTTTTGGTCTTCTTGCTTGCCTGGCCCACTCCAGTGTCTCTCTCATTATTAACTCTGTGTTTGATGAAGCTTGGGGCTGGGCTGTGTGATTACCTGGCCACCGCCAAAATCTGTTCCTTGCGGAAGAGCCTGTCTCTTTCTGCTCCATGTGGTCGTGGATCATCGGGTGATTTCTCAGCACCAAAGACACAGGAGTAGAGAACTCGGCAAAGGCCTGTATCTTCCAAATTCGGGGCCCTCAAGGTGTGAATGAGGAAAGCATGGACCATAGTTCCAGGTGGGTGCTCCAGAGAAGCCAGAGATCTAGAAGGTGAAAGTGAAACCCCTGCAAAGGGGACATCCTTGTGAGGGGTGTGGCTTGGGAGTGCATCCAGAGATTGTTGTGGCTAGACACTAATGACCATCTAGATATGCCTAGCCTCTGAATAATGTAATGCCTGGTCTGCATCACAGAACAAGGGCCATCCATGGTTGGCCATATCTCATACGTTGCTAAACCTACTTCTGCAAAACTGTCAGGGAATCTCCAAAAGTATTAAGGTCATGAGAGTGCAAGGAAAAGTGAGAACTAAAAGAAATCGGAGACCACAGCTGAATGCAATACCCGCTCCCGGAACAAAAATAACCTAGTCTCCATACCGAACGCCATTAAGACAACTTTAAGTATGGAGTGTGAGAGGGGAGTCTTCATCAGTGCCACTTGGTTTTGAATGCAGGGCATGTCTTTGATTTAGGAAACACACAAGAAAATACCTCTAAATGCCGCCTCTACAACCGATTTACATCAGCTGGGAGAGAGGTATAGAGCAAGTGGGGCAAACTTTATCCAAAGGGATCTACCTAGATAAACGAAATCATTTCAACAAGAAAGACATGGTGGCACATACCTGAAATCCCAACCCTCGGGAAGCGAAGGCAAGAGAATCAGGAATTCAAATCAGCCACAGATAAACAGAGAGGGCCTGGCCGCCTTGGACAACGTGAGAGTGGCGGCCCCGTGGTCTCAAGGCTGAGGAGATACAGTGTATAGCCACGGCTAAGGCTAAACAGACCAAGAATTCAAAGTTACCCAACAGGAAATTTGGCAAACTCGCTTCAGGAAGGGAACCTAGATTTGCAGACCTTGACCTCTGGTCACCCTCCTGCCGCCAGCAGAGCGCGTCATTAACCCAGGCCACCATGTCCCCTCCCACTGACGGTCCTAGTTGCGTCACTGCCTCGCGCGGGCAGCAGCGGCGCGCTGAACTCTGGGGGTTGTAGTGCGGATGCAGCCCCGGGCCTGTGGTCCCGCCGTGGCGGTCGACTTCTCGAGAACGCACACTCTTTTGACCAGCTGATCCTCCACGGCTGCGGGTCGCTCTGGAGGGTTCATGGCTACCGCAAGCTTCTTTGGAGGCGCTGGAAAACCCTTGACCAGCTGCGGCCTGGCCGCTGCGAGGGCGTCCTCCAGGGGGCGCTGAGGCCCCCGGCGGCGTGCGCGGAACTTTCCACGGAAGTTTCTGCTTGGCTGTCCCCAAGCTAAGTAGTAATGACCGAATTACAGGAGCAGAGATCTCCCTGCTGAAACGGAGTCATGAGCTTACCTCTGGATGTGACGGAATACCAGTATGTAGGCAGTTGTGACGATTCTGACCTTCAGTGGGTTAAGGCTAGTCCTGGATTTGACATAGAATTCTAATTCCTCTCCCAATTTTGTCATAGCTGTGTATCCCTGACAGGTCCATCAACTTTGTTAGGCTTTAGTGAAACTCCATAGAGTGACAGCTAAGACAAGTGTTTAAGGACATTTTCTGCTTCTGTAGCCGCTGTTAGATTCCTCGCAAGGAGCCATAAAAGGTACTTATAATTTAAGAAACCTAAAACCGAAGTTTGAGCCAGGTGTGGTGCTGCATGCCTTTAATCTGAGCACTCAGGAGGCAGAGGCAGGCAGGTCTCTGTTGAGTTCGAGGCTAGCCTCTACCAAGTGAGTTCAGACAGCCAGGGCTATAACACAGAGAAAGCCTGTCTCGAAAAACCAAATCAAACCAAACAAAAATGTAACATTTGAACCACGTGGTACCAGGAACCTGCATTAGATAGAAGATCTAATCTGGAAACATGGCCCATCTTTGGGACAAAGATGGACACACATTCCTTTAACTCTGAATGGCATGCGAATTCCTTAGGCTTTCTAAGAATATCCCAGTGTTCTGTGCTTCAAAGCCTCTACCAGGGTTGCTCCCTCAGATTAGAACCCCCCTTCCACTTCTTTTACCGTTCTAAACTTTTGTCTCTCATGGGGTGGGGTGCATCTCTGCCATGGTTCCTGTCTTCACTCTCCAAGGCCAGGTGTAAGGCAGGTCTACAGTCACTTGAATAGTGTCTGAGGACAAAAAGAAAGAAAAGAGTGGCCCAGGCAGGAGTACTGAAGACCCCCATGAAGGATTGCATCCTGAGTCCTTTAGGCCATAAGAACTGGGACAGTTTGCAGAGACAGGTACTGCATATGTTGTGGGCATTTTGACCTCAGGTGTGACACGTAAACATGAAGATGAAAGGATGGGTCCAGGCAGTGTGGGGCCTCAGTCAGAGAGCTAGGGGTGGTGGTTACTCCTGGGGCCTCAATCAGAGAGCTAGGGGGTGGTGTTTACTCCCTTCCTGGCAGTAATTCCTGGTCCCTGGTCCCTATCATTCTAGGCCAGGCCTCATGTCTGCCAGGAGATTGTAGCAAAGAACTGGCAGAGAGGTCTGTGGCAGCTGGGGGCGGGGTGGGAGAGTACTTGGCATTAGGAACATGATATCCTGGCCTCTGTTCACTGTTCAGTCCATATCAAGTGTCAAACCACTGGAAACTAAGCTTGTGTAGGATGTGGGGAGAAGAATGCCCTGAGCCATTATTACCCTGGAGGACAGTGGAGGACCCACCCAGACAGAAGCAATATCACAGCCGGCTTCCCAGTGCTGGGGGCAGGCAGCACTGGAGGGCTCACCTGATGTGGGCGTGCCCTGGGAGATCCTTTCCCTGTGGCCACTGGCCTCTTTTGACTGTCACTTCAGAGAGTCTGTTCGGACCCCTGGGATCCATGCCAACTCAGACATGGTCTAAAGTGGCCAGCCTAACAATGTCTACTTCATGTTAGTGGTGTGCTTGGCCATCTAGCAAACCCACTAAAAATAATTTACTTTGAATTCTCTCTCTCTCTCTCTCTCTCTCTCTCTCTCTCTCTCTCTCTCTCTTTCTGTGAGATCCTCAGTGATCCATTTGCCTCTGCCTTGGTTTTAAAGTGAGCTAAGAACCAGGCACTACACCTTCAATCCTAATTTTGGGGAGGCAGAGGCAGGTGGATCTTTGTGAGTTTGAGGCCAGTTAAGGGTCCATAGATCCTTGTCAAAAAATAAATAAGACAAGCAGTGGTGGTAAATGCCTTTAATCCCAGCACTTGAGAGGCAAATGCAGGTGGATTTCTGTGAGTTTGAAGCCAGCCTGGTCTACAAAGAGAGTACCAGGATGGCCAAGGCTACACAGAGAAAACTTGCCTCAAAAACAAACAAACAAACAAACAAACAGAATAAAGATATAAAAATAAATAAACAAATGAGCTAAGAATGTAATAGACTCCATCTCTGGCATTAGAAAAACACAAGGCTTGAGTTAAACATGGCTCAGATTTATAATATGGAAAGAAACTTGGGCAGTCTCTCATTTGGCAGATGACTAAGTCACACATCACAGTACTAAATGGAAAGTATTTGGATCCTGAGCTCTGCTCCCCTCGGTGTGTTCATGGAGGGAAGAGAGGAGGGGAGAACCGAACAAGACGGTGAAGGGTCGACATGATCTGAGAGAACAGACACGCCGCCACCATCACAAGAATGCTGTCCCTGGGAGACACAAACAAACATTTACTGTTTCTGTGTAGAGCATGACAACAATGGAAGATTCCACCAGAGCCTGACTTGGGGACAGAATGAGTTCCACCCGCCTGTTTATTAGGTGAGCACAGGGAGAGCAGCTGGCCAGTCTTGTAGGCAGTCTATGAAGGTGAGCAGTCTCAGGCTGTACACATCCAGTGGAGGAAGCCAGAGTTGCTAGTCTTTACATGCTGTTCAACTGTTAGTAAACATGTATACATTGACTCCTCAGGAAAGGTTTGCCAATACTCTTGTGCCTGGCCCATATGGACAATAGCTTTGCCAATTTCTCATCAGTCAATTGGCCTTGGAGTCCTTGACAAAATATACACTCAATGAGGACAACACTGGTTCAGGGCTTCTTCCACTCCCTATAGGAATTCCAACAGTCAACAAGCTCAATCTTGTGGGTCTCCTAAAAAGAGTCATACGTAACTGTTCTGTTGAAGATGAAGGCTCTTATACTTGGAGGAGAGCATTCTAGAAGTACAAATGCTTGTAATTACAGCACTTGGAGGTGAAGGCAAGAAGATCATGAGTTCAAGGTCAGCCTTGGCTACATAATAATGAGGCCAACCTGAGCTACACAAAACCCTCTCTGAAATGAGAGTCAGGAGGAAGAGGAAAGTATCCTATCCATTCCTGAGCCAATCATGCTCCTCTGGGTCCTTCTAGCAGGTTCTATGTGGGCAAGTGCAGTAGCCGCAGAAGGTGGGAGTTAAGAAAGAGGAGTAACAGATTCACCAATGGGAAGGATCCAAGCACTGACCCAGCAGTAATAGTCTGGGTAGACTGTATGGAGGAGGGAATATCTACCATCTAAGTTGTAGCAAATAGTGGGAAGAAGCCAGTCCTCCTAGATTCAGACTTTCAAAACCTTCCTGTTTTATCTCAAGAACCAGAGAGAGTCCTATGAAAAAGTCCTCCCTGGCACTGGGGCACCAAAGGAACCACCTAAGATAGGGTTCAAAAGAGCTGTAGTTTTTTTTACACAGATGTGATGCACAGACAAACATAAAGGCAAAACACTCATACACCTAAGAATAGTTTTTAAGCTGTAATTTTGTTCAGGTAGTGGGACTTACAGTGTCATTCTCTGATCTTTTGCAACCCTCAGCCATCTGTGGCCCCTGGGAAGGAAAGACCAAGTTGTAGACGGTGATGGGAAGCAGCCTGGGGCCTGGACGGGCTGTGGTCACACCACATGATGACCACATATGCGTATGTGACAAAACCACTTCAGGGTTCCCGCATATGAGGCCAAAAGTGCCCCTAACTGACGCAGCATGGGAAGTGGGCAGAGGGGAGCCTAGCACCTAGTAGGGACTCAAAAATCCACAGGCAGATGAGGAAGACATTTCCTAACCCTGGTATGTCAGCTACTGATGGCAGCTCAGAGACTAGGGATGGTATGGGGGTGGGACAGGGCAGCCACTGGGTTATAGGGCCTTCCCTGAGAACAAAGCAGGGTCATTTAAGTAGGCTGAGGCAGTGTGTTACCCATTGGTTGTGTGGCTTTATATTAGCCTAGCACCTGAGGCAGAGCTGGGTACACAATAAGTTCAGGCCTGGAATTCCATGTGTGTGTGACAGGCAGAGGAGCTGAGAAGGAACAAAATGTAATAAGTTACTACCACAAAACCAGAGGAGCTTGAACAGAACACAGGGCTGGATCCACGACCCAGACTCTCAGCCTAGATGGGGCCCGAGAGCTACATGCCAAACTGGCTTTCCTTTTGAATTGTAAAGGACTCCATTACTCCATACACCCTGGCCTTGCTCTTTTTAGTGGTCCTCCAGAGTTAAGGGTTGCCACATCCCCAGCACTGACCCCTTTTTCCCACTACCACCCCGTCTCCCACCCTCTAGTAGCAGGCAGCTTGTGGTTCCTCTTTGGACTCCCTTGGTGCTCACTGCTAGGATGTTACATGAAACAGCTACTGCTGACTTGGATGGGAAAGTGGAACTCATTCTTCCACTGCTCTGGTTGGATCTAGAATTCCTGGTGGGCAGCCAAGCTTGGTAAGCTGGGTTGCTTCTCCCAGACGTTTATACACATCTCAGTTCAGGCTATACACCTGCAGTGGACGGCTTCCTTCCAAACAAAGACAGTTCCTTTTGTCTTTGACAGCCAGAAACTCTCACTGGAGATCTTTACAGAACCTTTGAAGAGACTTCAGGCTATCACTATCTGCATCTGGCTTTAGGAAGGGCTGTTCAGTGG